TAAAAATATGTTACAAAAATAGCAACAAAAAGTACATTGCACACAATGAACGGAAAACTTTTTACACTAATAACACATCTTATAAGAACTTCAATTATTACACAATTTCAGATATAGTCTACCTTTTGGATTATCTTTTGAAAAACAGCTATTGTAAATTTGCAGAACACCTCTTTGTACAGAAAACGGGAGTACCACAAGGTAGCAATGTTAGCCCTCTATTAGCTGATCTCACATTATCATACTTTGAATATATCTATTCACTTACTCATAACAGTACAAAAAACCTACAATTTAGACCTTTCAGATATATGGATGATATCCTTGTAGTACACAATCTAGATACACAAACTGTTCTAGATAAACTAAACCAAATATACGAAAATATTTTGAAATTGGAAGTTACACACACTGACGAATATAGATGTAATTATTTAGATCTAGAAATCAATATAGATCTAAATAAAATATTTATCTTATAAGAAGATCTAAATAAAATACAGACAAAAATGTATAATAAGACGGACTATTTCAACTTCAACATAAAACGCTTTCCAAACTCAACAACAAATATTTCGTGTCACATTAAACACAATACGATTTATTCCGAAATTTTAAGAATAGCTCGAACATGCTCCAATAAAAAGGATTTCATAAGTAGGTTAAAATATACTAGAAACCAATTAAACGAATCTGGATATCCCTGTTCGTTCAACACAACAAAGTATAAAGCCACCCATGAAAACTAACTTTCCGAGTTAAGGTGAGTATTTCATGGCTTGCCATAAACTTTATTGAATTCAGCGTGTTTGGAAACCATTGTTCTCTTTATTTCAGGGCAAAATGATTCACATACATTTTTATAAGAAGATTTCCAAATATCCCCTGTTTCAAAAGTATAAAGCCACTTGCAACATAACTCTATTTTTCCAGAGAAAAAGTGAACATCGTAAATATTAGTAACTAGCGTGACTTCCTTTTTTAGAAGTGAGATTTAATAGACCATTTGGCATACTATCCGTGAGCTTCAGAAGTATAGCGGGATTCAGGTGGTAGGAAAACGTCTCGATGGCTGTCTGAGGTCTCCCACGTTACTGTACTGCTTTCCATACGCGTATATCTGTCGGACAATGATACCCCAGGTGTTTTTTATTGGATTTGGATCTAGGCTGCTAGCAGGCCATTCCAGTACACTGATTTTGTTGACGTAAACCCGGTGTTGAGTGGACCGGCTGCGATGGATGGTGGCGTAATCGTGCATAAAGATGAAGTTTTGCCGACGACTTCCACACAGAAACGAGAGAAGATCATTAAGAAAAGCATCCTGATTCTCACTGGGGTCCATTTGACACGAGACGAAAGACAGAGGGAGCACAGCATCGCTGTAGAATGCAGCTCAGACCATCTATGCGCCACCACCGAAGTCTCTCCTGCTAAATACCAGCGGATCTTTGCTAAAATCTCTCCAGAATCTGTGATGACCATCCGGCCCGTCTAAGTTGAAGTTCTTTCAACCACAGAAAATGAACTGAACACTACAAGCCATTAACTAAACGTCATGATGAAAGTGCCTCCCTACCCCCGTAGAATCACCTACCGAACCCCAACTCGTTCGCATGTTCCTCCGGGCGAGTTCGAGACGAGGTGCTTTGTGATGCTGTTCCGGACGTGGAGTCTTCATCATGGATTGTCGCACGATATTTGGAGCAGAGTTAGCGACCCTCCAGATGGAACTTTTCGAAGCAAAAAGGGAGAGCTCGTATCGGATCTGACTGATGGTCGCAGTAGAATTGGAAAGGGATCGTTTAATATGGCGGATATAATACTCAAGCAGAACACGTGACCTTTCAGGGATCTTTCCTTTCATGATAAGCTGGATTCCTCAAAAGAAATGTCGATACAGCTTTGAGAACGTCCAAGTTGAGCAGCAATGGAGCGATTTGAATGGGCAGCTCGATGTAACGTCCTCGCACCTTCTTGCTTCCAGGGCGCTGCTCGTGGTGAGTTATACGAACTTGCTCTTCCAAAGAAAACGTAGATCCACGAGATATATTGAAGACGTAATGTGTTTGTGCTAATTATGGCCAAAGAACTCCAAATGAGTTAACAGGAACAAAAATTTTTACCGCTGTTGCCTACTCGCCCGGGGTGGCTTTATACTTTTTGAAACGCACTTACGTACAGATATCTTCACTTATCAATCTGATAAAGTGCTCTGCTAAAAATACTTTTATAAAATATAAATATGAACTAAACATGGACGATTTACTAGAGTTTCTTCGAAAACTTGATGACCCTTGAAAAGGAAATGAATATGCATCGGTAGAGAATGATAAACAATAGCAAAAATTTATGCAACGTTATATCTACCTCTAATATATCCTTCTATTTTATAAAGCGCTAACTTTGTGTGTCGGTTTGTGTATCTGTATGTGTGTGTGTGTGCGTGTGTGTGTGTGTATGTATGTATGTGTGTCCGTCCGCAAAATGAAGTGAGTGAGAAGGAAGCTCATGGGATAAACAAACCGCTAACAAATCGGGTAGCTTACAGGATTTGAGATATCAATGTTTTGTAGCAGGATAGTTGTGATAACACTCTTAGGGCTATATAAACACCTGCTTAGCACACTTCCGTTCATTCCACATGGTGCTGCAGTGGCAGCTGGAGGGCAGTGGAGAGAGGAAGGGAGGATGAGGAAGGGAAGCGAAAAATCTACCGTCATATCATGATTGTGTCCCTTCTACTGTATGAAACACCATTGTGTTGCATACGCGTCACTTCCAGGAGGTGTTGGTGTCACAGGAGGAAGGGACCATAGCGGAGGATAGAAAGCGAAAGGAAGGTCCCGGCGGTTGACGGGACTAATTGGTCTACAATATTCGAGGAGGCAGGACAAGAGGTGAGTTCAATTTTCTATACAATTACATTGAATAAGAAATAAACTCTTTCACTTTTTCATAAAAACTTTAATTATATGTTAGATAAATCTAACTAGCTATAAAAAACTTTAATTTGTATTAAACCTTAATTAACTCAAATACTAATAATTCATTCACGCTAACAACTTTTGAAAATTTTATTTAATAAATACTACAATAATGTAAATCAAATTCTTTATACCTCTCCTCCCTTACTGATGAGCACAGGGAGAGGATACTCTTTCGTTTAGTCTCCGTCTAAGGGCACGTGCGAAACGGAGACTAAACTACTCTTTGAATCCCACCCCCTAAATAAATTTTGAATAAAACACATAAAAATATTGAGATCGAAAAACAAAAACAAAAACAGTTTTAATTTTACAAATAGAAAAGTTTAATCATATATAAAGCCATTAATTTTTATTGATAATTTAAGCGCATTTCACGAGCAACGACCTTAGGAGGCACGGATCTATTTATTCGTAGACGAAACATAACGGTGATTATTCCGTATAGTGACCTAGGCTGCCGTTCCACTACTACAGCTGTCGAACCCCATTTTTGCTCATGTTGCCTATACTTACCTTTGGGCTCTAATTGGGTCACATCATCTGAAAAAAGAAGGTAGTGTTGCAAAACTCCCTTTCGTTCGTTGTTAAATCCACTGGCAACTTGTTCACACGCACGGCGCGACGCGGCTTGATAGTGAGGCAGTTAAGAACGAAACACAAAGTCGAACACCTGCTTACTCAGAAACGAACGAGCCTGGTAGGGAGAATGTTTGGAAACCTTCCCTCTTTCTTCTATAAGTTTGTCTCTACCATGGAAATCCTCGTAACTCAAACCTGACAGAGCAAATAGTTCTGATCGAGCACTATTGATACATGTAGTAAGAATATCACCCCAATGATTCCACCGACCAATTGCGGTAAATCATTTGGTAGGCTGTTCAAGCGCCTCACCAGCGGGCTGGACGATTGACCCTCAGAAGTGTCCATTTGTTCATAGGAGTAAGAGTATCTTCATGGGTTCTCTGTGCCCGAATGGCGAGATTTCCATCGTAATGTCCGTTCCGCGTTGTCATCGGATATTTTGCCACCAAGCCGACGGACCTCTAGCCATTCGATTGACATTCCGAAAGCTGTAACCACCTGAGCCAACGTCACCACTAAGCCATAACGTACCCACGTTAGTCTAGCTCAATCTACCACATACAGCAGCAATCATTATGTTCAACACTTGACACAGTGCGAGGCTCTGCATTCTGTTCGCCAATTGTATCTAATGGATCAAAAAAGACCTTAGGAGCCCAGAACGTTCTCCTCAACGGTTTCTTGCACACTATTGAGGAGTACGTGCACGACACATTTCTCTGTTCCATGCAGGTACACGTTACGACATGCAAGTGGGGTCAATCATCTCTTGCGAGCGAGCACGTGCAATGGGAGTGGGAAAGCTCCAGGTGATTTTGAAAACTGAATATATTTTTAACAACACAAATAGTGTTAGATATTTGCATATTAAAAGGTACTTGTGAAAGTTCCCCGCATATACGAGGACAAAAAATGGAATTTAGAGAAATGCAAAATGTGTGGCTACGAATCTAACCGCACGCCATTGTTCCACTACATCGTGGCACCCGGGGCTGGTTAGAATATACCTACCTTTTTATCCATATAGTAGGCCAATGACTCTACAGAAAACCGTTTTTGAGAACACACTCGCTGGAACGGCTTTCTTACTAAAGCTATGGCATTTGATACCGCGCTGCAACACCACACATCCCGACGGCCAGCGTAGCAAAAGCGTTTGAAGAGACTCGAACTTTCTTGGTTGTTGTTTAAGGAAAAACCAATTTTGTGACAGTCAAACATAAAAGACAAACACATAGGCGCTATATATCAAGTGGGAATATTAGGAGGTGCCTGCTTCCCAAAACAGGTATTATGTAAAAAAGACTGTAAGCAAAGGAAGTCGTGAACTCGTACAAAACGAAATTTATTCAATCTCTGTATAATTTTTACAATAACATTAAACTGCACTTCTACTCTAGGAGAACCAAACTGCGTAACTACTACCAATCATTTGGGAGGGCTCAAATCGACTTTCAGTTTTTGTGGAGGTTCCGGAGCTGAAAAATCTTCATCAGTGACGACACACATTGTAGTGAAGGATTAAAAAATTGGAATAAGAAATCATGGGAGGTCAAACTATATTTACTCCCATACAGAATAGCGGGTGCATCTAGTGTGATTTAGCCCATACAATGACGTACTT